CTCTCTCACAGATGAGGCCCCTCTGTCATCCCTAGATTTCTGTCATCCCTTCAGTGGCCCCCCTGCAGGAAATCGGCTGCATTGTGTTGTTTCAGTGACCTAGGAGAGCATCAAAGACCAGGAAAGCCCCCACAAGTTTTAAGTGGGTCTCATCCTGCTTTTGAAAAGTTCATGGGAGAGGAGAGGAGAGGAGAGGAAAGGAGATCCTATTACCCAACAGTGAGTTTTCCAGGATCCCCCACAGCCAAACTTGGGAAGGGTTTGATAGAGAGTGAGAAAAAGCCAATTATCCCCCATATTCTCCAGGAAGAATCACAATTCCCTAGCCAGCTGAGAACTCCATGCAAAGGTGGCTTGAAATGCCTGCGGGTGCCACCTGGCCAGAGGCAGGAGGCTCTGTCCGCCCATTCTCATTCCTGACTAGGTTAGGTCCTGGGAGAGCAAAGAAGGACCAGTCAGGGGGTTAGGTCTGCTTCACTCTCATTTATGCCCCTACCTTATATGTTAATAGAGGAAAGCAGTTTTCGTTTTTTTTTGTAGTACATAAAATGTGTAATTATATTCACGCAGATTTAAGGCATAAAAATGAAGGTGTAAACTGTGCTTAGACATTTTTAAAGGACTGCCCTGAACGTGACATACTTTTATGGAATAGAACACTTCATATCAGCTTTAAGGATAAAGAACACTAAGAGTGTCTAATGTCCATTATGACACTTCACAGACATACGTAAGTGTGTGGAAGGGGACGGGGGAGTTTCAGGAATATCTCAGGTAACAAGAGCTCCTAAAACAGACAAACCAATACACAAAAACACCACCGTTTTCCACTTTTAGAGTGACCTCCTCCAAACGAAAGAGGCAAATAACTGCCTGCAGAGTTAAGCTTCTTCTGCTTATTTATCCAGGTCTCTTAATTTAACACAGATTAAATAATCTCTCAGAAGGGGTAATAGTATCCACCACAACAGAACAAGGGCAGTTGTTTACACTTGAAGCTTATCCAACCACCTTAGGACTTTTGAATGTTCTAGCAAAGTGTAAATAGAATAAGGTCACAGGTGATTGACAAGTTCAAGTTACTTAGCTCAATTATCAAAATTTTAGTTCTAAATTATGTTCAATTTGATTTTCCTGCTTTGCTATAAATGACCTTAGAAAATCCAATGGGAGTGGACAATTTACACCACATCCTACGTACCATGATTTGTAAAGGCATTTTGTCGTGTATGCCTCCTTAATGTTTCTACGGAGACCAAATCCTTACAATTAGATTTAGAAAAACAGCATGCTTCTTCAAAGGCAGTCACTTTAAAGATGTAATGATCACTAAATTTTGACAACTTTCTGAACTCTCTGTAAATTTCTACACTGCAGGCGGACTGTTAAGCATCTAAGTCTCTGGATACTAGCATGCTGTATTCAGTGTCCATCTATCCAAACAATAGATAAGAGCACAATTTGTAAATACATATCCTACAACTCACTTTCAACATAAGATCTCAAAGTTTTCCTATGCATTATTTAATAGATAAGCAAGCTCTTCAGATCAAGGCTCATGCCGCCACATCTGGAAATGCTTCCTGTGCTCTTATCTACCTCCCCCTGTCCCAGCCAGCCACCGGGGAGAGAAATAGCTGAGGCCTCTCCTTCCACCATTATATGATAGCATCAGCTTTTAATCAGTGAGAGGCACTCCTATTTAAATTTACAGGAGACTCTTTATTTCATTTATCTTGTCTTTTGGACGAAAGTGAAACAAGAGCACCACCCTTATTAATTATAAGATTGATGGGGTGAAAAAAGCCAAATGAATTTGGCTTGCAAATTATTAGTAGGGGTATGAATATTTATGACTGTGCCAGGAACTGCAGTCATGAACCCTGGGTATCAAGCCTGGGAGACAGTCAGACCAATGCGTTCAGTCTCCCCAAATCTGACATGACATAAATGGAAACTTCTAAATTAGATCCAGGGTGAGCTCCCATCACATCGATTCCTTTATGTGTGTGTGTTTGTGTGTGTGTGGTGGGGTAATCTTGCTAAACAGGAACTTGCTTATAGTGGTTGCCATCATAAGTTAAAAAAAATTTAAGGTATAAACAGAAACCTACAAATTTTGTGAAGAAAATCTGTGCTTTTCTCACTTGATATTCATTTATGTTTTAAATCAAGTTTATCTGTAGAATATTTGTGACATGCATTTAAAAAATTGAAAGCTATTTTTATTCAGTGTAAAAAATATCAGAAACCCAAACTATCCTGAGTATAAAGAAGATTTAAATAGACATAATCTAGGTTAGACCAGACAGAAAGGACAGGGGGGCTAGAAAATGGCAATAGAAGACAGAGGAGAGGACAAGTTTTCTGTCTCTGCTTGTTTTCCCTTTTCTGCACCAGACTTACTCAGGCTTTAGTCCCAAAGGGAGGAAATTTAAATGAAAGGTGAAGGTAGAAAGGGAAAGGGTGAAAACAAGGATTTAATAACTCAGTAAAAAAAAAAACTATACCCTCCTCTTGATTTACATTTAAGATTTCTGTAGTGCTTTGGAAAAGATGCTGAGGATTTGAGACTTAATGAGCTCAGCTACCATCTCACTGCTGGTTTCTTTCATACAAAAGAATTGTTGAGTGGGGCTGACCCAATCCTATGAAAATAGTTCATTCTGACATCAGAGCCAGCTTAGCACATCCATTTTGAAAAGGAAGACAAGTTGTTTTCAAAACAGAAATGCTAAGCATTCTCGAAAGCATAAGCATTTAAAAAAATGCTCCTCAAATATTCTGAAAAACTCCCAACTATGTATACATACATACATATACATATATACATATATATATATGTGTATATATATTCACAATTGTAAATGGATTTCTGTGCTAAATTGATGCTTTATGTGTATTCTGTCTCAATTTGTCTATTCTCTGTAAGGATATAATTTTTTTAAAGAAGTGATACCACTGACAATAATTTACTTAAATTCACAAACCTTGAAATTGATGTATCTCCCATCAATCACATCCAGGAGATACAGTAAAACACATTCAACGTTTGTATATCAATAGTGGCACACACACAAATCTGTTTTGTTCAATTTAAATGCTCTTCAACATGTCATTTCAGATTTTTCTGGAACGTGTTATGGGTTAGTCATCCTGCTTCAGCTGATTGTTAAATCCTTAACCTAATGAAAACTCAAAATAGGGTATTTACATGTCATGAATTTCAGAACTGAAAGGTGGGCTTTAGGGATAATTTGGTCAACTCTGTTTATTTTTATGACAAATAATGGGGGTCTAAAGGTGGCCACCGACCAGTCCTGCTCATAAGCCTAATTAATTCTACAAGGCTGCTATTTCTTATGATACGGTCCTTCCCCACCTCTTGCCCTTTACATTAGAGCAGTATTTACAAATGCAGACTTTTCTGCTAATATTTTTCTTCCTAGCACACTGACAATGAAATTCTTATTAAATAATAATAAGATATTGACTGATCTTTTGCCAATATGAAGATTTGTTGGTCTGTGATGTCTGTATTGATTAGCAAGAATGAGATCTATCGTCTCCCCGGAGGTAAACAGATCTCACTACTGGCACAAAAACAAACTTTGTATTAATAGAGATGCTAATCTTCCCTAGTTATTGGTTATACATCATCTAGAAACAGATATAATTAGGAATACCTGAGAAAAATACCTCAAAATCTCCAAAACTGGTCACTAGGGATACGAGATACAAGAGTTCTTTGACATTGGCATCATGGCTTGCTTCTAGGTTACCTTCGCTCCCTGCTCTTCTCTTTCCCCCAGATTGAATCCTATGCGTGCTCCATATTTTTTACATTAAGGGGAATCCTGTTCATGCCCGAGATGATCTTATATTTATGATGGACTCTTCTGTCAAATTATTCCTATAGCTTGCTGTCAAAAACGTCACTCAAAGTTCCCTCTCCACCTCTCTTTACCCTCTGTCACAGTGACTTAGGAAGTCTAATCGAAGGAGAATTTACTTCACCTGTAAAGTACAGCTGGGAGAACTTTTCATTTCCCACTTCCCATGCGCCTCCCCTGTCCTTCCTCCCCCAGCTTTATCTTCACTCTGTTTACGGACTGTTGTTCATTGTCTCTCCTTGTGGTAAAATTGTTCATCCAAGCAGTTTCTCTGAAGGCTCCCAAACCTAACTTGTGTGTGAAATGTTTATGTATAATCACATTTGGCAAATTTTCTGAGTTCATGTTACTTGGGTTAATACTTAGGCAGAAAAGAAAACAACACTGAAGCAAAAATGCCCTCCAATTATAGAAAGTTCTGGAGCACACACAGCAGATATTTGACTTCTGAAAATATAAAATATGAAATGCTGGACTTGTTAGCATTTCAAACTCCTTTATTAGTGTGGCTTCCTGTTTGCTGTGTTTCCATTTCATTATTTTTGTATGAATATGATAAATGGTCATTAAATCTAACCATTTTTATTTAATGTTCATAAAAACTGGTAGGTTTCAAACAGATGTTGCCTGATATGGTTCAGTGAATTTAGTGGACTTCTCATATAAGTGGAATAATAACCATAAGGAAGATGAATTTTATACCTTTGTTTACCTCTTCTAGAACTCACCCTTATTATAATTATAAATAGTATTTATTATGTATTACGCAATACATATACCTCTGTCCAGACACTGCACAACCCCTAACTTGATCACTGCCATCTAGAGTTTATAATCCAAGACTGCACTGACACCAAAAACTACTGAGAGAAATGGACAAGCAGGACATATTGCATAGTTATAGATTCTTTTCTCTATAACAAATAAAATGGAGCTTATTAGCACATGAATGAAAAAATATTTATTTTGTTTCCACTTAAATATTTTTCTTTCCTAACCAAAGGAGTGGTTGGGAAAGAAGTAACAGTTAATTTCATTTATTTTCTATCAATTAGGGATGACTTTGAGGAATAACTCTTTCCCTTTTAACTTTTTTTCTTTTTTTCAAGAAATCAGCAAAGAGAAGAAGCTGGCAGTCAGAGCTGCCTATGTGGAGGAGGATATACAAGTTTAACTACTAAAGGTAGGAGGGCCCCATAGTTTAAAAAGTATCTGTCCTTGGACTGCTTGGATCTAAATTCTGGCTCAGCCACTGATTAACTATATGAGCTTTAGCAATAACTAATGCTTCTAAATTTCTCCTAGGGCTTTGACATGATAATCAAGTAAGTAAATGCATGAAAGAATTTATCCTAGTGTTTGGTTCATGGCGAGGATTCAATAAATATCAGTTGCTATTATTATTATTATTAATGGAATAGCCAACCCCTACCCTCCCTCCTAGCTTAGGGTCACATATGAACAATCCATGAAATTTAAACATCTGTTACTTTTATTAATCATGCAACTCAATATTAACATAGATTCTGAATTTGTTCTATATCTCCTAGCTCACTTCAGTTATGTATTTGTATCTGTATATACTTATGTTTTAGCATTAAAAAGACATACATGGCATATGTGTTGCATGCAAGTCAATGAATAAATAGATTTTGGGGTTGTTTAGTAATCAGTGGGAACACCACTAGCCTGGGAGCCAGAGAAAGTAGATTCTAAATATAGTTATGCTGCTAATTATTGTGTGGCTGTGCCTCAGTGTCCCTGCCTGTAAAATAGGTTGGAGTATAAAATATCCAAGTCCTTTCTGGCTCTAACAGCCAAAGATTATGTGACCCACATAGAAAACTTTTCCTAGCAGAACTTTTTTTCTTCCAAGTGTGTATTGAGAAAGTATTATGTACCTGGCCCTGTGGCAGGCCCTAGACTCAGAGAGAAATAAGTAGACTTCTGTCCTCTAAAAATATACAGTCTAGTGAAGGAACAAACATTAGATTACGTGATGAGTGTTATGCTAGAGGTAGGCAGAGGGAATCGTGGGGACAGACAGAAGCAACCTCTAACCAACAGGATGCAAGGATATAACCAATGGGAGACCAAGGAAAGCTTTGTAAAGGAGTTGGTGCCTGAACTGAGTCTTGAAGAAGGCAGAGTAAAGGAGGCTGTGCAGAGAAAGGCAGCCCACGAGGGAACAGCACACACAGAGAAACGAGAGAGAGGAAGAGAAGTCGGGTAGAGAACCAGGGGTTCAGGTGGCTGGAGGGCAGCGGGAAGGCGCAGGGAGGCAGAGCCAGGGCTTCTCCTCCCTCTGCTGCGTCTCCCTAGGCAAACTCACATCCTTCTGTGGCTTTCATTACCTTCCAGTCTCTGAGGACTCCCCAATTTATACCTTAGGCCCAGATTTGGCTGAAGATATAAATTGACTTTAGACAGATAGATCCAACTCTCCAAGGACATCTCTGCATAGCTGGAGGCACCTCAAACTCGTGATTTTTCACCCCCACCTTCTCTTGTGTTTACTATCTTAGTAAATGGTATTACTGTTCACCCAGTTGCTTGTGATAGAAATTTAGGTTTTATCCTTAGTATCTTTATCACTGATATGTCCCAATCCAGTGAACTTCCAGGCCCCAATTATTACACCCACTAAATTAATCTTTAACCCATATGCTTCTTTCTGTCTCCACTGCCACCACCCTATTCTAAGCTACCATTGTTTGAACTTAACATATGGCGGCTTTGGAGTCAAATATGATCCCATCATATTCTGATCTAAAATCCTTCAACGGAAACACACCATTCTTAGAATAAAGTCCAAACATGTTCTAAAAAACTTTGCCTGACTTCACTCCTGTCCCCTGATCTGCAGCCCCATTAGGAATCCCCTCGTTCTCTGTGATCCAACCTCAGTGTCCTTTATATCATGTCTTGCTCACCGTAGGGCCTTGGCACTTCCTGTTTCTTCGCCTGGCAGGCTCTTCTCTCGTCCCCCACCGCCTGTCTCTAACTGGGCTAACTGCTATTCATTCTTTGGATCTCAGTTTAAATGCTATTTCCATGAGGACATGTTTCTTGACCATTTTCTCTTGATTAGCCTGGATTCTCAATTCTCATAATAACATATACATTTTCATAGCATTGTCACTTTCACACTTAATTAATCACGCAGTTATTTAATGTCTTTTTCTCCTGTGGCGATTTGCCTTCCATGAGGACTTGATCGGCTATGTTTGGTTCACAACAGCATCCTCAATGTCTAATAAATACATATTTTCAAGGAAAAGATGAAATGGAAAGAGCAATTAAATAGGATAAGGTCTGGAAAGGATGCATTAGACTTAACAATTAAGAGGTCATGGGTGACCTTGGAGAAAGCAGTTTCCGTGGAGTGGTATTGGTAAGGCAAATTCAAGTGGTTTGAGTAGAGAAAGGGAATTAAGGAAGTGGAGGACGTGGGTGTAAACTACTTTCAAGAATCTTATTCATGGGAAAAATAAAAACAACATGGCCACAGATAAAGGGTAGATGTAGGATCAAGGAATGTTTTGCTTTTAAGGGTAAAAGAGAACTGAGTTTACTTATATGGCTGAAGAGAAAGCAATAAAAGAGAAGATATACAGACTGGTTGAAAGATTAAGGATGTAGGAAAAAGAAGATACAATTTAATGGAGGAAGACTGCAGTACAAGCTGGAATCCAGCACATAAGATATGTTTTGTAAAGTTAAAAGTCACCTCTTCCTTCAGATACAAAGAGTGGAAGTAAAGGCAGGTGTTCATATGGATTAAATAGAGGCATAGGGTCCAGGAGATAATGCGGGTTGTGCTTGGTAGCCTGGATTTCCCATAAGGCACTCAGAGAAAGGAGGTGATGGGGGAAGGACATACAGAGAGAGGTGAAAGCTTGGCATCACCGTCGGTGGGGGTGTGAGAGGAAACCCATCAGGATCAGGTCAGAGATTGCTGGACACTGTGAAGGGACATCTGTCAAAAGGGGACATGGAGGCCAGCTTGAAGGGGCCACCACTGGTCAAATCTGGAATAATCTGAGCATCAAAATAAATAAGAAAGTAATGGATTATAATTAACTGAATAAAATAATAACTGTGAGTCTATTATTTATTAATGATAAATAAGTAAGGAGAGAAAGCTCTTTTTTACAGCTGTATGACAACAAATAAATAGAGTGGGAATGGTGGCATTCTGAAAACACCATTTTGCAACCATCATAGAAAAAAACTGAATCAGGCAAAAGTCATCAATGAATGCTAAATTTGATGTTGATGAAGAGCAGGATATTTATAGTACATAGGAGTGCCTCACTATGAAGTACTTAGTTATTACAAGAGGAAAACTTTTAACTGTACATTGGGAACACAAGTGATCAAAACTAACATCACCAAAAAGGTAATTTGCCTCCAACACAATACTGTGAAAAGGAAACTACCTGACTTTTTGGTTTTCCAGCCCTGATGCACAAGCTGAATGTAGCCATCTGACACATCACACAAACCCATATTGGGGCACATTCTATAAATTAACAGGCCTGCATTCTTCAAAAGAGAAGCCAAGTAACTATTTCACATTAAAGGAGACTAATGAGACATTACAGCTGCGATTAGTGATCCTGGACTGGATCCTGTCCTGGAAAAAAATTGCTCTGAAGGACATTATTGGGACAATAAGTGAAATTGGAATATGGACTTGAGATAAAAGGATTGTATCAGTGTTAAGTTCTCAGTTTTATGACCGTACTATAGTTATGTAAGAAAATACATGTGGAAATGTAAATGGAGAAAGTAACACAATATATGCAACCAACTCTTAACTGTTTAGGAAAAAATGTGGAGAGGAAGAGAGAGACAGAGAATGCTAAAGCAAATGGTGCAAAGATATAAAAACTGGTCATTCTGGGGAAAGGGCAATATAGGAGATGTGGGGAGTTTTTGCAACTTTTCTGTTTGAAATTATTTAAAAATAAAATGTGTAAAAGATGAATGCAAAAAAACCCCCCAAAAGCCTGACCCTCTAAAAACACCCAATACAAGTTTACTATCGTCACCAGCATCACCAGTTGGGAAATTCTTGCAATATTTTAAGTAAGAGGTGATAGAGGACCTCATTTTGGGCATCAGGCACCGGAAGCAGGGATGGAGCAGACAGGAACTAGTCAGAGGAGCTGCACCAGGAATTCTGGCAATGATGCAGGGAGGCTCCATGCCGTGGAAGGCCCAGTGCCATTGGACAGATGAAACGCCATCCCAGTTCACTCAGCTGGTGGCCGGTTCTCTCTACGCAGAATGAACTTGCTGGGCAAACTCCTCCTGTGCGCCAAGCCTTCCAGCCCACTAAGTGCCGTTGGCTTCTGTGCCCTACGGTGCCCCAGTAGGGCAGTAAGGGAGAGAAAAGACTAGCTTGTTTTCAGAGAGACAAAGATCTTCTTCTACCACTATTTCCTGCTTGTCAGGAGAACACGAGCAGGAGGAGGGGGCAGGGAAAGGAAGGGCCATGAGCGCCGTTCCGGGAACAGCCCAGAAAGGGGTTCCACAGGCACCTCAGCGCTCTGCTTCTGTGGTGGTTGCCTGGCTGCCTGCCACCTCGCCTCCAGTTGTTAGTGCATAAAGCTGACTCTCTTACCACACTAGGAGAAGGTGAGGTCGCTCACCAACTCTTTCGGGTTTACTTCTAAAAATCCTGTCGCTCAGGATCAGCAGTGACTCGTGTGGCTGTAAAGCGGCAGCCAGCTCAGGCAGACCCGTGCTGGGATTGGAGGGAGAGCTGTCCCGCGGATTGCGCATCTCAACCGAGCGTTGATGAGTTGATTAAAACTTGTTTGAGCAAATGAAGTCAGTTTTTTCAGAGGTAGTATTATTTAAAGCTTCCAGTATTTCCTGTTTGCTGTCAGAATAAAATCCAGGATGACTTCCTACCACCTTGAATTATCCCACCTTGCCCAAAACCCCACACACGTTAATACTCAGCTCCCACTAGACCGCTCTCCAGGGCACCAGTATCCTGTTTCCCTCTCCTGCAGCTCTCTGCTCATTCTATTGTCTGAATCAGGAAGCAGAAATAATCTATTTCTCCATTTGGTCTACATAAAATGTTTTTATATACACATATAGTGTTGTAAAATTTAACAAAATATTGCAACTTGTATTAAATTCCCTTTCAGTCTTTTCTTTCTG